TTAACCTGATACCTGTAAATTGAAGAAGTGTGGGGGATAGAGAAGGCCATCTTACCTGTATTTCATCAACTGGTATAGTATTACTGATTATACAATTAACCCCAAAATTAATTGGCCCTTCTATAGGGATTTCTCTAGACTTTCTCACCCAGATAGTGACCACCAACTCTCTCTATGATTATGAATGATGTTTCCTTTTTAGAGAGAATTTTATTTCCAATGGGTGAGGATGCCTTAATTATCTCTTTGGAACATGGCTATAAAAGACTAGGGTTGCCAACACTCCAGGATTGTCCTGGAGTCACCAGGAATTGAAGAGTAGTCTTCAATTAAAGATTATGTCATGTGATGAAATCTCCAGGAATATGTCCAACCAAAACTGGCAACCCTATAAAAGACTAAAATGGACCTCAGCCATTTGTGACAAATTATTTAAGAGATTGGAAGACTCTGATGTTAGATGTCTCAGAGATGTAATTATTGAGACAGAGAATTCCTCTCAAATTTTTTAATCATATGAGTTGCTGATAAAGTCCTTACAACCACTTGTCTCCAAACAAATTGATTTTGGTTTTAATTATCCAAAAAATGCTTTCAAAGATAAATGCATTTGGCTTGATACAAGCCTCCTCTAGCATGTATAGCTAATAGGGTAAGATGCAATTCCTCTCCCAATTTACTTCAGAATTTAGTAGCTGCCAGAAGAAGATACAAAAGTTTATTATAGCATAAAAACCAAGAATACCTTACATCCTTGTAGAAGGATTTTGAAGCAGCAGCTAAAGCGAAAAATTATTCCATGGTTTAGAAGATGGTGGCTTTGGTAGATAAACTCCAATTAGAAACCCCATATTAATGATGAAGCCCGGATAGCACATTTTGGCCAGGGCTTTAATGATTCTCCCCAACCAGTTTTTTTTATCTAATGCTACCATAGCTGCTGCAATGAAAAAGCATGTCTTTGATCTACCACTTTGGGCTTCAGCAAGGGACAGTAAAGTGTAGTCATTTATTTTAGCCCAACAATGGAAAATAGCTCCAGGGGAAGGTTTTCTCTCAGCTGAAGTTTTTCAGGAGAGTCTTGCTTGGTGGTGTCCAATTTTGGTTAAATTATTTACTGTCATTAATCATACTGGATGGATTCCATCTGACTGGAAGTCTAGTATCATAGTTCCCATTATTAAAAAAAAAAAAAAGAAAGAGGGGGACAGTAAGTATCCTGTTTCGTATAGACCTATCAATGTGTTAGATGTGGCAGGGAAAATTTATTCCAGATTTTTACTATATAAACTTGAAATAAGGGCTTTAGAGGCCAATTTATTACATGAAGATCAGTCTGGCCTTAGGGCTGGTAGAGCTACAATTCATAATTGTTTTATTTTATCCTATATAATTTATAAATATACTATGGTTAAGGGTACTAGATTGTATGCTGCTTTCATAGCTCTAAAGATGACATTTGATTCTAGTAATTGAGACAAACTCTGGGCAAAATTAAGAAGGATGGGTGTCAATATAAGACTTTTGTATATTTCGGGTGCTCTAGAGCAGGGCAATATGGTTGGGTAAGAACTAAAGTCAATGGAGAATGTAGGACCATTTCCCCTACTTCTAGAGGTGTATGCCAGCCTAGTGCCTCTTCTTTTTAATGTATATATTAATGATGTGGTTGTGGTATTAAAGGAAGATAATTTTTCTCCACTGCAAATTAAGGGTAGCTCTCTGCCAATGTTATTGTATGCTAATGACATGGTTGTTTTATTGCAAACTCCAAGAGGCCTCTGCCAGTTACTATCACATTTTTCTTCTTCTTATAATTCTCAAGACCTGGGTCTCAATAAGGTCTTTTTTCTAAGAGCAGTAGAGCTTGTATTACTTTTCTTAAATGTTGGTCTATGTACTTTTCCAGATTATAGATTGCCCCATCTTTGCCTTCAGGAAATGGAGGAACAATCTGTGTACGCCTTATTTCCATAGTATAAGACCCTCCAATTTATTATAGACTTTGGTAGCATTTGCTTCAGAGTATGCATATTTTGTAAGATTTCGCTTTGTCGCCTGCAAGGCGTCTTTGGTTTGGCTGATAGAATATCCGTGGTTTTCTTCTGAAAACCAAAGCCCTGTGGGGGTTTAAGCGGGGAACAGAATGGATGTGTCTCCTGAACTCAGAAACACTTAGTTATGGTGACAAGAGCCAGCTGCAGGAGTTCATGCTTCCCAGTTACATAGCAGATGACACAGGAGCTAGGGAAGGGGCAAGGGGACAGCGCAATATGCATTTGGCTGGATTCTGAGTTGGAGCACAGCCTAGTGGGTAAAGCAGATCCTTGTTCTATTCCTGACACCTCCAGTGACCCACTGCATGACATTGAGAAATCGTTTCCGCTCTCTGTGCCTCAGTTTCCTCATCTGTAAAATGGGGTAATGATATTGACTGCCTAGACAGCAGGCTTGTGAGAACAGATTCAATATTGGCTGCAAAGTGCTTTGAGATCCTAGGATGCAGGTTCCCAGAGCGAGGCCCCATGTTCACGGCCAGCTGAGGTCATTGTGGCCGTTCCCTGCTGGGTTCCCTGGCAAGGCAGGTGTGTCTTTCTGACGGCTCACTTGCCCCAGCTTTCATCTTTACACCCAGGAATTGGCACCCACCAATGATAGTGGCTTCCAAACAGTAAGGGCAGCAGAAGGTCCAAGGGTAATTTGCCATGGGTCTGAATTTAATCTGTGCCTCCTCCCCTCCCCCCTTTGCAGTGTGAAGACAGAGCTGAACCAAGGAGTGATGTTAGCTTTCAAGGCAGCACAGAAGGGGGAGGGGGAGCAGTTACACTTTCGCTGCCAACGTGGCTACAACCATCGTACCAGGATAGGGAAAACCAGGCCCTCAGGGATTAGCTGGACAAGTAATGAGGCTTTCTGAGCTTCGATACCAATGAGAGTTCCAATGAACACAGGACCCATCCCCTTCTCTTTGTGTCTGTAACTCTGTAGTGGTTTCAGAGTAGCAGCCGTGTTAGTCTGTATCAGCAAAAACAACGAGGAGTCCTTGTGGCATCTTAGACACTAACAAATTTATTTGGGCATAAGCTTTTGTGGGCTAAAACCCACTTCATCAGATGCATGGAGTTGAAAATACAGAGGCGGGTATAAATACACAGCACATGAAAAGATATGTGCAGATAGCTGGCCCAGCAGACCTGGATAGAATTACCCAGAAAGCCTCGGTTCAGGGCGAAGGTGCTCAGCCAGGTTTATTGTCAATGAAGGATGGCTCCATCCACGAACACATGTCTGCTCGTTACAGTGGACTCAGCTCAGTCAGCCACGGGACTCTCTGCTGCCCCCTTGGCTGGACAAAGCTGCTGGTTAGTGACCGAGCCTACCCCTTGTACCTGCTGGTTCGAACAAAACACCTCCCTCCATCAGCCTGTCCTTCCATCCCTATCCTGACTCGGGGTCGATGTGTTCCTGTACCATCTCCCAGAAATGTGTTTACATGAACAGCCAGTACCTAGGAGTGCCTGTGGTTTACCAATGCTAGCTGTTTTCTGCCAAGTTCCTGTACCGGTCAGTGAACTTGTAAGCAAGCATCTGCTTTATGACAGGGCCTGACTTTGGTTCATAGCATGGCTCTTGCGGACTTTAGTTCAGGCCTTGCACCAGGCCCAGTGCTCCAGGCTCCCTCTCTACTACAGCTTTAATCTAGCATGGCTAAAAAGAGCGGGGAAGACATAGTGGCATAGACTTCAGCATAGGCTAGTAATGTAAGGCCACACTCAGGGTCCTAAGCGGGTTTGTGCGGCCTGTGCCAAAGCCCATGCCACCATGTTTTCACTGCTCTTTTTAACCACACTCATTAGATAAAAGCCAGCGCGGGTATGCCTGCCTATGGTGCAATCACCCCTCTGATGGCAGTGTATCTTACACTTCTTCTGGAGTAAGGTACTGCTCGGCGTGAGCATATCCGAATCAGGCCCTTTACCAGTTACAGTCCATCACTGCTGATGAGCGGCGGCTAGATGCTGCCAGTCTTGCTCACTCAGACTTACTCCACAAGTTGTCCCTTTGATCTCTCCGCAGTAAGGAGCCACTAACTCAGTCTGAGTCAGGGCGGCAGTGACACTCTCACCATTTATTTCTCCTGAGGAGCTCAAACTGCTGCAAGTAGCATTTATGGCCAAGGAAAGCTCCATCTTCCCCTGTGCCCATTGTGGTGAGTCGATCAGCAGTGTTGTTATAGCTGGGGGAGAGGAGCCCTGCAATGTACACGTGTGCTTAACCGGCATCACTGGTATTGCTGTGTCGAGTTCTCCCTCCCTGTTTGTTACTCCGCCGGGCCTGGCCTGGGTAAGATCTTCAGGGCAGGGTCTGTGTCCTTCAGCTTGTTCCATGAAGTCACTAGCACAGTGCTGGGTGCAGCAGAAACACTCCCCATGAGTGCAGAGCACTGGTTATTATTTTAATAATAAGTAAGGCGACTTTGCACAGCTACAGCCTTCCTTCTGAGGACTGGCTATCGTCTGCGCTAGTGACCCAGCTTTGATTCTTGTGTCCACTCATTCCAGCTGGGGGTCCCTGCAGGACTGGCTGGGAGGGAGGGCAGCATGTGGGCAGCTCACCCCATCACTGCCAGGGCTGTACCCTTCTGTGGGGAAACTCCCTGCCTGTTCGGCACATGAACTCCAGCCCCACGCAGTCCTTCCCCTGGAAGTGCATATACTGCTGTATCATGAACACGCCCTTCCCAAGCCCTTGTGAGTCAGCAGCACGGAGGGATGCTGACAGCACAGCAGAACCCTCTCTCACACGCACAGTGTCTGGAGCTGCTTACACATCAGGACAAAGTCTGACATCTGGGGAGAAAGCGGCTGAAGGTTGGCGTCGTGCTTTGTGCTGGGATTTGCACCCTGTGTTGCTCCACCTGTGCATTTAGTGTCAGGTCATGGGGCCGACACTTGTAATAAAACGATCATGAGACTAAGACAACAGTCAAAGCCAGATGGTGTCTGGAAAATGTCTCTTTATTGATGGGAATCAGTGCCAGGTAACAGTAGCCTCCGTAACAGATTCAGCTCCCCCGAGGAAGGGGAGGCTTTGATGCACAGCTTTGCACTCACTCTACAGAACAGATGACAGCACAGGTGCTCTGGGAGCATGAGTGCCTTGGTATGTGGCGGTCATTTAAAAAAGGCTCAATCGGGAATGGGAGGGCTCAGGCCCATTTTCATGCACGGCCCTCCACTGACAACACCCCACTGTTCGACTGGCAGCGCACACTCCCCACATTATAGGGAGACACTCCCCTTCCCCCCAGCAGTGCTGCTGTGCTGAAAGTGTGTGATGGGGCTAGGGTTTGGGAGATCAGGGTCACACCCCTTGTCACACAAATGTGGCTTTCATTGCATCACAATGGACAGGGACTAATGAAGGGCAGATTTTCCTCTCTGACCCCCATATAAAATGCAGCCTTCATTATAACACACTTCAAGCACAACAATCCCTGGCTGTCACAGCAGTTGGAAATGGAAAAGACCTATTAGATCACCCATCTCATCACAAGGAGCTACTACAGGACAGTCTAATAAGGAAGAATCTTTAATGCTGTTACATCTGTGGCGCATTCCTGCACACACTTCGTAGCACGACTTTTCCGCTTGCAAGGCTGCACCCCAATTATTATTCACTGGCCCCAGAGGTAAGAGCCCATGGATCAGGTTTCAGCTGGGGGTCAACTGGCATAGCTCCATGGACTTCGCTGATTTATACCAGCTGACTCTGGTGACATAGAACATGGGTGATGAGCTGTCCTTGAGGGCCTGGATCCATTATGCAATATTAACGGACGGAGGAGTCCATTTCAAGGAGGGGACAGGCATCAAAAAGAAAGGAGTCGGGGATAATGGCACTGTCACAATCCCATAGTGATTTCCCATCAAATGGAGCTGCCATCACTTGAGGCACTTTCTGCAACACATCACGTGTAACCTTTAAAGCAGAGAATTTACACCGGCCAGTTCTTTCTCCTGGGAGAGGAGTAATAACGGCCCAATGACTGGTTGGCTAGGAGCAGGTTGTCCTGGCTTTGTGAAAGCTGGAGTCACATGAATTGAATGTGACTTGATGCAGACTTTATTTTCCAAGGTTCCCAGTGAAGAGGAGAGAGAAATGTCATAAAAATCTTCAGCGTGTTTATTATCAAGATATATATATATATGTATAAAGGTGTTTAAAAATAGTACTATCCTGCTTTCAGAATTAAAGATATATACACATATATATTTATAGATTTTTTTTTTCTATTTGATAAAAAAAGGATAATGACAAATTCTGCAACAGTTCTGCCAAAATCAGGGTGAAAGGGGGTTTGATGAGGAATATCCCAGTTATGTTCGATCCTCTTTTCTGTCTGATGATTTGTTCTGGCCTTTTTTCCCCTCCCCTCTAATTGAAATCAAAGATTACATTTAAATTCCTGTGCAATTAAAGCAAAAAACTTCAGAGACAAAGAGGTTGCTGCAGGTGCTCTCATTTCACAGTCAGGATTAGCAGGGCAGCCGAGGGAGTTTCTCACATGGGGTACAGGGTAGAAAGTATATTGGAAGTTGCCAGAGTTCCTTCCCCCACCTACACAGAGTCTAGTTACAGCTGAGCAAGAGCTGAGCTACTTGAAGCATTCAGGATGCTTTGCAAAGCATCTTGCTGCCTGATGGAAGCGCTCGGCTGTGCACTTGGGCTTCATTGGAGAAACCGGTGGCCAGCTACTGTCGATTAATGGCAGGTGGGTTAGAAGATGCTGATTGTCCCAGTGCCCATCTCCTTTCTTAAGGTCCAAACTGACCCCATTCGTCACACCTCAGCCCGACCCCGTTAGTCCAGAGGAATGGAATAGCCTCAAAGGCTGAATCCACTCATTTTCGGAACAGGGTTTTTTTACCCTCTGAGTCCCCGTCAAGATTTTGCAATATAAGAACAAACAACGACCCTTTACAATACTCTAGGAATAACAATGACGTGTAGCTACGGTACGTTTCCGCCCCCCCCCCACCGAGTCCAAGTGCCACCTGGCCATCTGCAGGGATCATTTCTTGTTGGCGATCTGGTTTTCCAAGTCTTCGAGTCGGGCCGTCATCTGAGCGAGTGGTCGTGTTAAGGAAGCTGACGCAGAAACGAGACAACGTGGCCTGCTGGTGAGAAGAGGGCTGGGGGGGCTTAACCTCAGGTTAAGAGGGCATCAGCCCAACAACATACGGCTAATAAACTAATTGTGCGAACATTTCACCCACACTAAATGAAGAGAGTCCCCTTTGTGTCTGCTGGAGACACCGCTTTCCTGGGAGGCCTGCACCCTGACACAGAAAGCTGTGATAGTCTTCCCCAGAACAGCTTTTGGACAGCCACAAACATGAGCCTGCCCCCACTTTGCACTCTTTTCCCCCTTCCTGTAGGCACCAAACAGACCCAAAGATCCCCTTTACTCTTCCGCTCACCCCGTGTTGCAGTAACCTGTCCCTCCAGCAGGAGAAAGCTGGATACAGCTCTGGTAATCCCATTGACACAGACACAACTGCCATTTAGGGCAAGCATTTCACACTCATTACTATTCAATTGCTAAGGCACTTGGGAGCCCCTTGCTCTTCCAAAAGGGTACCAGGGAGCACAAGTGAACTGGAACTCAGCTCTGCCAGCCGTCACTGCCTGGTCAACATCATAAACGCCATGGGCCAACTCTTCCATGGCAGGCAGTGCAGCCCACGAAACCCCACTGGCTGAATTACGCAGAGGAAAAATCAAGGCAGACACCGTCCTTAGAGGAGCTGGAACAAACCCAGCTCCATTTGGATCCTGCACCGACTGTCGCTCAATCAGGCCCTTGCTGGTGACCCAAAAGGATATGTTTCTCTGTCAGGCTTTCCAGGATGGCCACGGTGTTTGACTGGAATTGCACAAGGGCCTCACACTCACACGGGCTCCGGATCTCAATCTCCCCTTTGCCCTCCTCTGAAAAACAAGAGTTTAAACAATATCAGGAACCCTCTGTCCTTCTATGGCACCTTCTGAAAGTCCTTGATGAGCATTACCCCCAGCTCTTCCAGGAGGTAGGCAGCTACTCTCCCCGTGTTATAGATGCGGGAGTTTGGAAGTGACTTGCCCAAAGATATGCATGCGCTCAGCTACAGGGCCAGGAATAGGAGAGAAAATGTAGCAGAACCCAGAAGTCCTGACTCTCAGCCCTATGCTTTACCCACTAAGCCAGCCTTCCGCTTTCCTCAGACCAATCAGTTTGGATGGAATATTCCATATCGGGAGAAAACACTAACCCCTGTGGGGGTGTTATTCTCGCTGATCTCCACGTATACCTCCCATGCACATTGATGGGGGCTACGCTGGCTCAGGGAAGGGAACAGGGCATGTTAACAAGAGCTACACATGTGCGGTGATGAGGGGATAGATCCCTTTGGTTTTGACATCGCAGTTCACTCTTCTTTTAAAATGACCAGCAGAGCCCCTCACTGCCCTTCTGCCCTGTGATTTTATCAGGTCACTCTCTTCAGTAAGCTCTCGAGCCAGGCATTTCTGACTCCCAGATTATTCTCCTAACACTGTATCTCTGCTTATCTAATAAAAACCCGACATGCTTATCATAGGAAACACGTAACGCCAAACAGTTCTGTACAACACACTCCTATTTTCAGATTCCCCATATTTGCCAAGCAAGCTTCCGGACAGAGCATCCGTAGCTGATTAACATAAAAACGCACCGGCTGGGGCACATTGCTCTGTTGCTAACTAGGGAAGGCTTGGATCCTGAATGTCACAGACGCCACCGTTCTGCCTCTGAATTCCTCCTGCAAGTGCTTTGCAAGAAGGAGAGACACCGTATGCTACAGGCACTTTCATGCAGCCTCCCTAACTCAATCATCCGTATATTTTGTTGCTTGGCTACAGAAAGGTCTGTACAGAATGAACTGAGTTGTTTCTCTTTATCCAAACTAGACGTGGCAGAGGAGGAGTGTCTAAGCTCTTCTGCAATATAAATATTAAGTAATAATCAAGATCACATAGGAAATCAAGGCTGAAGGGCCTGGCCCAGCTAGAGTTGCCACCTGTCTGGTTTTCACCCAGACAATCCGGGTTTCAGCTTGTGCGTCCAGGTACCATTTGACAAGTCCTGATGTCCAGTTTTTTTGATCTGGGGGCGAAAAGGGAGAACAGGGGCGGGACCTTGGGGGAAGAGGCAAAGAAGGGGCTGGGTCTCGAGGGAAGAAGTGAAGAAGGGGCGGGGCCTCGGGGTTCCCATTACCAGCCATTAGAAAGGTGGCAACTCTAGGCCCAGCCTGGGTGAAGCCACCACACAGGCCCTGCCAGCACCTACCTGGGCAGATGTTAACTTTGAGGTTGTCGACTATATGAGTCATGGTGCTAAAATCCGCAGAGTACGAGAAATGCTGTTCCACCGGCTCAGAGGCAATTTCTCTCAGCTCCTCTTCAACTGCTTTTCCAACCCCAACCGCAAACATGGTGATCCCTGCACAATGGAGCGAAGGGCGGTTCTGTACAAGCTGAACCTGCTCGATGGGCATCCTGGACTCCATCGCCCCAGAACATGCCCACAAGGCGGGATCCTCCTAGAATGACATCAGCTGGGCCAATGCTGCCACAGTGCTAGTGACCATAGTGCCCTGGGTGCTTCTGGGAGCATCCTTTGAATGTGGCAGCCACATGGATAGGCCAGGTAGCTGGGGCTAAATGCAAGGGCTTGGTCAGGGTGGCCAGCCCCTCACTTTCTCTGCCTCAGTTATAAGCTAATATGTGTATTATCCTGTTGAGAGTCAGCAGCTACACGTACCAGGGACTGGGAGGGTCAGTGTGCCAGACACCAAGAGGCCATGAGCTTCTCCATGCTGCAGGCACCCAGGGACCACCAGCTGTGTGCAGCGAGGGGCAAGTGGAAAATTTGCCTGGCATGCTGGGTGCATGAAGAGCATGCCCTGAGTCCCACCCACTCAGAGCCCAATGAGCTGTGAAGCCGCTGGGGTTTGTCACCCTTTTCCCATTTCCCCTCACCTGATTCCTTTGCTTTCCTGGCCCATTCAGCGATATCATCCTGGGAGCGCCCATCAGTGAAGACCAGCCCAATTCTGGGAATGTTCTGGGAGAGGGGCCTGGCACCTTCGGCCTCTGAGAAGCTGTGCTCTAGCATGTGCTTGAGAGCCAGGCCGGTCATGGTGCCCTTCTCCATATACTCCACCTTCAACACTGCCTTCTTGATGTCTTCTGCCGTCTTATACTGGTTGAGTGGGAACTCGGTGCGCACACGACTGGAGTACTGGACCAGCCCCACCCGCGTGCCGTGGGGCGACACATCCAGGAAATCCACAATCTGGTTCACAAACTGCTTCACCAGCTCAAAGTTCTGAGGCCGGACACTCTTGGAGCCGTCAATCACCAGCACCAGGTCGACATGGCTGCTCTTGCACTCTGCACCAAAGGAAGAGGTGAAACGTTAGATGGCACCAGCCCTGCCTCCCGAGCAGGGCCGGCTCCAGGCACCAGCGAAGGAAGCAGGTGCTTGGGGTGGCCAATGGAAAGGGGTGGCACATCTGGGTCTTCGGCGGCAATTTGGCAGCGGGTCCCTCAATCGCGGCGCAATTGAGCTGCCGCTGAAGTGCCGCCAATCGGCTTTATCTTTTTTGTTTTTTTCACTTCGCCGCTTGGGGCGGCAAAAAAGCTGGAGCCGGCCCTGCTCCCGAGGGCACAAAGGGAGAGCTTAGAGCGAGCAGATACCAGGGGCGGGGGGAGCAGAGCCAATGGGCTCTGGGACTCAATAGGGATTCTTCCCCCTGGAGTCACTGCTGAGCTATATGCGCTGGCTGTAGCTGATGCAGGAAAACAGGACACAGCACAACTGGAAAAAATGTCAATGTCACGGCCCTGAGAAACCAGGTGGGTGAGGCGATATCTTTTACTGGACCACTTCTGTTGGTGAGAGAGACAATCTTCCGAGCTTAGAGAGAGCTCTCTTCAGGTCTGTGTAGGCTGGAAAGTTTGACTCTCTAACCAACAGAAAGTTGGCCCAGTAAAAGATATCGCCTCGCCCCCCCCTTGTCTCTCTAATATCCTGCGACAGCTACAACACTGCACACAGCCCTGAGAATTCCACTTCGACCCTCCGCTCTGACCCCAGAGATTCTTGGGCACCCTTCTCAAAGCCCTCCAAATTCCCACTCCCCCAAGAACTCCTTCTGAGGGCCCTGTGCTTCCCTTGCCAGTCTCACACACACACCTTGCACTGTTGCTTCCGTCCCTCTGGCCAAGGAGGACCAAATGGTACCTTAACACTTCCATTCAGAGCTAGTCATCACCTCTCCTTAATCAGCCAGAGGCCACTCAACCGAGTGCAGCAGGACTGCCTTCTCTCCTTCCAGAGGTCCGTGTCAGCTTCCCCAGAACATTCACGCCCTTGTGCCTCACATCCCCCAGTCCTCTCCTGGTCCATGACCAATCCTGCCAGCCACAGGGCTGTATTGTTACACAGCAGTTTACTTAGTGGTGAGCCTCTTACTGTATTTTCTAACCAGAGAACTCCCTGGAATTCCTGTCTCTGTTTGGGTTTTGGATGTGTCAGTAGCCGAGATGGGTCTGGAGCAAAATCCCAAGATCAAACACTCCTGAACCTTAGGGTGGTTTGAAATTCCCACCTAGATCCAGATTCAATTTCACATCTCAAGCTGCCCAGCTCTCACTGGGAGCACCTTGAATCTACGTGCCAGTTGCTACAGACCGAAGGCCATACGTTAAGGACACTGCCCGCAGGCTGTGTCCCAGATACTCACTATTGCATGTCTTTCCATCAGCATGGAGCTGCTGTCCCTCTGGGCAAACGCAGTGGTAAGAGCCAGGGGTGCTGACACATTTAAACTCACAGCCGTGATCTATCCCATTGCAAATGTCACTGGCTAAAACACAAACCAAAGGGACAAACACACCATGTTACAGGACATGTCATTTCCTTTGTGATTACCAAGGAAGTGCCAGGCACAGAACATCTCTTTCTCAGATGGGAACTCAGTGGAGCTGTAGGGATGAGGCTGATACACCCACATGCGCCAATGGGAGATGCACGAGCAATCGCTAACTTGCCGTGAGATCTGTCCCTCTGCAGATCCTGGGCTGTTCAGCTGAATGGTCTGCACTGATAGCACTCGTTCATCCCAGTGGAACTCGGGTTCGTGCACTCCACACCTTGGGGTGTTCTGAAGTGGGACCCAAGTTTGCAGGAATTAATTCCTCTTAGGGCTGTAAAGGAATCAGAAGTGCCACCAGCAACACGTCTATACCTCCTGGTGTGACCTCAGGGCACACCCTGGTAAACTCTCCCCAATTTTCCCTGTGCGCTCTCTAATGTGCTGGCAGGGCATTCTGGGTCCTGACATGCAAATGAGCACATCAACCAAAAGGACATCATTATGGTGAGACTTGCTTGGATTCGAAGGCTAGCAGCCAAACCCGGAGGCTGTATAGTATACGGTGGCCTGCCTGTGCTCTCTGGAGTGATGGCGCCCTCTGCAGCAGAGAGGCTGACGCAGCACTCACCCTGGCACGCCTTGCCGTCGGCCTGCAAAGTGAAGCCGTCGTTACAGCGGCAATAGTATCCGTTCGGGATGCTCACGCACTTGTGCTGGCAGCTGTGGTTTCCAAAGTTGCAGTAATTAATCACTGGAAAGAGAAGGAGACACACAGGCGTGAGGGACATCAGCCATTCACAGCTCACCCATGACCCTTACCAAGAGGGCTAATTGACCAGCTGGGCCTGTTCCCGAGATGGGCTGCACTGGTCTTTTATCAGCTCTTTGCTGCCACTTGTCCTCAGGCCCTACAAGGCTCTGGAAATACAGGGCTCCCACATATGGCTCGATGCCAAGGCCCTGCCTCAGGATGGTGAATTAGCTCAGAGCACAGTTGGGACAGGACAGGGGTCTATTGATAGCACACAGGGGCCATGGAGCTCCCTGCTCATCACTAATGGGGCATCTGCTGGCCTTTCAATCTGGATAAAGCATATGTGGGCCACCACTCTGAGTTAAATCTCTCCTCGTGGACGGTGGCTGCTAGGAGCGGGTGGGCAATGTTGAGACTAGAGGCCTGTTCCAGGTTCCAGACTCTCTCCTGCCCATCTCCTGTCATGAAGGAGCCTAAGGGAGCAGAGTCCCGTGGGTCTGGGAGAAGTAAGAGATGCTGGAGAAAGCGATGGCTGGGCTCTCCACAAGGGCTGAGGGCAGGGGAACATAGAGGGCATGGTGAGAAGAAGGGGAATGTCTGGGGTGATGAGGGGCAAAGGACAAAGAATGAGAAACAAGAGGAGGAGGCATAGAGGAGACAGTCACGTACTGGTACAGGTCTTTTTGTCCTGGTTGAGATTGTAACCCGTCCGGCAGTGGCAGGTGTAGGACCCACGAGAGCTGACACACTGGTGCTCACAGCCATGCTTCCCATCAGCGCAGGCATCAATGGCTACAGAGAAAAAGGAACCACCTTCTTACCCATTCCTTCACCACCTCACTCCTCGGTGCCCCCAGAGGGGGGCCACCCTCACCTCTGCCCTCCTGGCCTCAGAAAGAAGACACAGCACAGACAGGACATGTCTGAAACGAGGGTGGGGAAGCATGTCGCACAAACACACTGACATAGGGGCAGAAAGAGGGGACCTGATGGCCATTGTGGGCCCATGCAATTACAACCCATTTCCAAAACACAGAGCCTAGGTATTTTGTCTTTTGCTCATTTGAAGGCACATTCCCCCCCTGCCAGCACTCGGTCTGGTGACACTATGCAGGAACCACGTACAGAGTTCAAGGGTATTTCTGACAAGGGTCTGTGTCCCCATTTACTCTTGCTCTGCATGGACCCCAAATGAAAAGATGCTGCAGCTGTGGGTGGTTATGTTTCAGATGAGTCATTCCCATCTCAGCAACACGATTATCACTTCGCAATAGAACGAAATCCAATCTGCCGGCCGTTCCTATTGCTCTCTGCAAGGGTTCTTAACGCAGACCTAGGCCTATGGTCAAAAAGTACTAATAACTAATTAGCTCTAGTACCTACGTCCAGCACAACACCAGCAAGCTAGTCAAAATGGGGGGCAATGTGGCCTCGTGGATAGAACATT